GATGCTGAATGGGTACTTGATTCTAGTTGTTCTTTCCACATGACTCCAAATAGGAGTTTTCTGTCAAACTTTAAGAAACTAGAGTCTGGAAAAGTTTTGTTGGGCAATAATGCAGTTTGTAGAGTCTTAGGAATAAGAGATGTAAGGCTGAATTTGCATGATGGAAGTTCAAAATGGCTCACAGATGTTAGATACATACCAGAGCTGAAAAGAAATTTAATTTCTCTAGGAAGTCTAGACTCAATTGGCTATAGCTACAAGGCTCAAGGTGGAGTCCTTAAAGTAACTAAAGGATCCTTAGTTGTAATGAAGGGTGAGATGAAGAATGGGCTGTATGTTCTAAATGGTTCAACCATAACTGGAACAACAACTGTATCTTTATCTCAGAAGTCAAATAGGACAGCTTTATGGCATAGGAGGTTAGGGCATGTTAGTGAAAAATGATTAGTCGAGCTGAGTAAGCAAAAGGTTCTAGGAGGGGATAAAGTAGAAAAGCCAGATTTCTGTGATCACTGCATTTATGGGAAGATGAGCAGAATTAGGCTTGGTGTGGGAAACCACTATTCTAAGGCTATTTTAGATTATATCCATTATGATGTGTGGGGGCCAACTAAATATCCATCTTTGGGAGGTTGTAAGTATTTCATTAGCATCATAGATGATTACTCTAGGAGGGTATGGATTTATTTCTTGAAAACTAAGGGAGAGGCCTTTAGGAAATTCAAAGATTGGAAGGTTATGATAGAAAATCAATCTTGGAAGAAAATCAGGAAACTTAGAACTGATAATGGGTTAGAATTTATCAATGAAGAGTTTGATAGTCTGTGTAGGGAAAGTGGAATTTTGAGGCATAGAATAGTAAGAGACACACCCCAGCAGAATGGATTAGCAGAAAGAATGAATATGACCATTCTAGAGAAGGTTAGAAGTCTATTATCCTATTCTAAATTACCCACCAGGTTTTGGGCAAAGGCTGCCCACACTGCAGTTTATCTAATAAACAGAATACCTTCCTCAGCCATTAATTTCAAAACACCCATGGAGAAATGGTCTGGACATCCTGCAAATTATAGTAACCTTAGAGTTTTTGGTTGCACTGTGTTTGTGCATGAGAAATCCGATAAGTTACAACCAAGGGCTATTAGATGCATTTTTCTAGGTTATCCTGATGGCATAAAAGGGTACAGATGTTGGGATATTGTAGGAAAAAAGTGCATTGTTAGTGGAGATGTTAGGTTTAATGAGGATGAGTTCGGTGGGTTGAGTCAGAAAGAAAGTGACAATGCATATAGGACAAAGGTGTTTAACTTGGATCTAAGTGGAGAATTTTCGAACCTTAACAATCCTGGTTTAGACCCTATTTTAGATTCCCAAACCTAGGTGGATAAACCTAGCTTAGATGATAATGATGGTGATGGAAATGATTCGTAAAATTATCAACTAGTTAGAGATAGAGAAAGAAGGGAAATTAGACTACCTAGTAGGTACTCACATGCTGATATGGTAGCTTTTGCTCTTCAAGTTGTTGAAGAGATTGATGAGGAACATAGAACTGTTAAGGAAGCCATGAATAGTAGAGATTCTAGGCAATGGAAACTGGCCATGCAAGAAGAGTATGATTCCTTAATAAAAAATCAGACCTGGATTCTAATTAACAAACCTGAAGGTAGTAGGGTTGTTAAATGCAAATGGGTTTTCAAAAGGAAATAAGGTATACCAGCGGTAGAAGCACCTAGGTTTAAAGCAAGGTTAGTAGCAAAAGGCTTCACACAGGTTGAAGGGGTAGACTACAATGAAATTTTCTCACCAGTTGTGAGACACACTACCATTAGAATCCTCTTATCTTTGGTAGCTCAGTTTGGTTTAGAACTAGAGCAATTAGACATCAAAACAGCTTTCTCAAATGGTGATTTAGAAGAAAAAATTCTGATGTAGGAGCCTGAGTTGTTTGAAAAGGGGTCTAAAAACCAAGTCTTTTTTTTGAAAAAAATCCTTGTATGGGTTAAATCAATCACCTAGGTAGTGGTATAGGAAGTTTGATTGTTTTATGGTGAATGCTGGTTTTATTCGAAGTAGCTCTGATGGTTGTTTTTATTTCAAGTGCTTATATGGTGAATGCTATATCTACTTGGCCTTGTATGTGGATGATATGCTTCTAGCCTGTAAAGATTTTTCTGAGATTATTAGATTCAAAGAAGAGATGAGTAGACAATTTGAAATGAAAGATTTAGGGCAAGCTAGAAAGATCCTAGGTATGAATATTGAAAGGGATAGGAAAACTTGAAGACTTGTGTTGTCTCAAAAAGAATATGCTGAAAAAATCATTAAGAAGTTTAACATGTATGATTGTAAACCTGTTAAAACACCTTTAGGTCAACATTTTAAACTAAGTACAATCCAGTGCCCAAAAATAGAAGATGAAAAGAGGGAAATGGCCTGCATTCCATATGCAAATGTAATAGGGAGCCTGATGTATTTGATGGTCTGTACCAGACCAAATTTGGTTTTTGCAGTCAGTTCTATTAGTAGGTTTATGAGCAATCCTGGGAAGAATTATTAGGAAGCTGTAAAATGGGTGTTCAGATATGTAAGGGGTACACTGTCCACTGGTATTATTTACAGCAAAAGGCAAAATCAGGTGAATCCTATTGTAGGGTGTGTTGATGCTGATTATGCTGGAAACATAGATAATAGAAAATCTACGACTGGTTTCTATTTTTCTATTTGGGATAATCTGGTTTGTTGGAAGGCTAACTTGCAGGCTATAGTTACTCTGTCAACCACGGAAGCAGAATATGTTGCAATTACAGAGACAATCAAAGAGGCAATGTGGCTCAGGGGAATGCTTGATGAGATGGGACTGAATCAGTAGCAAGTTCTAGTCAAGATTGACAGCCAAAGTGCAATTTTTCTGTACAGAAATCAAGTCTTTCATGAGAGATCAAAATACATTGATGTTAGGTTGCATTTTATCAAAAATTTGATTGAACACAAAGTCACTAAGGTGGAGAAGATTCTTGGAAAAGAAAACCCAGCATACATGTTCATTAAGTCTGTTACTTTGGACAAGTTAGGGCTCTTGAAGAGCCTTCTACATATTGAAGAAAATTAGAGGAAGTTCCAGGGTAGTAAGGAATGGTAGAGATCAAATGCCAAGGTGGAGATTTGTTGTGCTATGGCAATTGACCTATGCCTACGTGGAAGTCAACTTATAACTTGGGTGGTCAAAGTTATTTGTTAAAGACTAAGGGGCAATTTTGTCCTTTCCATTCTTCAATAAACCTAATGTAAATTAGGTTTTGCTTAGTTCTCATTCTCGAGCTTTCTCTCTTGGTTACAGAGAGAGAAAGTTGTTACAAATCTGGATGTGCTAGAAACCTGAAGATCGTTGATGGAATCAAATGGTGGTGGTAGGTCTTAGTTGTATTTTCTATTTTGCCTTCTCTTTGTGTATAAATCTGTCATTGATTCTAGTTACTTTGTATCGTGTATGAGAGTGAGGACATCTGGGTTTTATGGGTGTTGTACAAAGGGGTTTTACTCGGGTTTTGCCTTGTGTAAAGGAGTAAGCGTAAATCTCTGTAAGGTTTCTCTATTCTCATAGTCAATGGTTCCTTATTGCCCTGAAGAGTGGATGTAGGTAATCTATGTGATTACCGAACCACTATAAATCCGTGTGTCTCTCTTTATTATTCTGCTTTTCTTGTTTTTCATATTACTTGTGTTTTTCTGCTACTTGGATTATTGTACTGTTTGGTTTTCGATTTTGGTCTCCATTTACAACATAAACAATTTTTGGAATTCCAGGTGGTCAGCTTTTGCAAAGTAACCCTTATATCAAAAATCACATCTTTAACAAATTTTTTGCTTAGAAATCACATATATGTTCTATCCACATAGCATTATAGTAATAAATCTTACCTTTTTCAGTTTAATCTCATACCATGCACTCAATCATAAGCAACACAAATCAAATTAATCAATAAGCTTCAAATAGGGAAATCTTAAGCTTTACTCACCTCCCACATGCTTAATCCTCCTCTACTCCTTTCGGTCATAGGAGTTTGCTCGCCGATGGCCACTTTTCCAGCCACCTTCATCGCTTTCTGCTCTTCTCTCTCTCTTCTCGATTTCATCTTCTCTCCCTTCTTTTCTTTCTTTCTTCTCTTCTTCCTTTTCTCTCTTTTCTTTCTTCAATTCTTTCTCTCTTTTCTTCTCTTCTTCTCGATTCTTCTCCATTTGAGTGAAAAGCCCACTTTTATATAAAACAATTTTCTAAAATTGTGAAACTACCCCAATTATTCTCTTATTCTTACCATGACCCTACCACATAAGCTTTTCTTGCAAAATGCCCCAACAAATATTTAGAAACTCACATTTTTTCCCCGAGAAAACAAAATAAATTTTATAAAATAATCCATAAAATATGGGATATTACATTCATAGTCCTTTACTTTCTATATAGGAGTTATGTTTACTTAACCACTCAGAAATTTCACTATGAAAAAGAAGAAGAATATTATAGGTCTCTTTAACATTACAAATTTACTCTCCTCTATCTCTTTTTGTGGCCTCACTAATTGTGGCCACACACTTTCTCTTTAAGATTTAACACATTTTTATAATGTTTAGGACGTCTCACAACATTTTTATGATACAAAGTCATTAGGAATTAAAAACACTTATCTAGGCTAAAAATCATGTTTTCCCAAAGGTGTGTTTTCTTTTCTACAGCAAACAAATAAAATAATCATGAAATATTAGAAGTTTACCTGTTCACTAATTACAATTATGTTACATGGTTCAATGTTACAAAGAAAAAGTGTAAGATCGTATGATGTATTTTATTTTTAAAATAAAAAATAAATTGTTCAAAAACTAAAAGAGATGTTATCTGAACTGCTTCCAACAAGATTGATTTTACAAATTCATATCTCTATAATTGCATTTTAAACTTGCTGATGAATTTTTGTACTAATATAGTTTCTATTTTATAACAGATATATTGATGGAGATTGTAACTACTATTCTATCAAAGGTTGGAGAATACCTGGTGGAGCCGACCATAAATCAAGCTCGTTACTTATTTCGTTTCAAACAAATTGTTGAAGATCTTACAAAAGCAGAACGAAACTTGAAATCGAAACAACGTGATGTGGAGGAAGAAATCAAAGCTGCAGAAAGAAATGATGAAAAAATTAAGGCAACTGTACAAGATTGGTTGTCTGATTCGAGAAAAATCATGGGAGAAGTTGAGACGTTGAAAGGAAAAATAGAAGTTAATAAAACTTGTCTTAATGGGTGGTGTCCTAATTGGGGCTCTCGACATCAGTTGGGGAGGATAGCAACAAAGACAAGCATTCAGTTGAAGGAAATTATAGATAAAGGCCAATTTGAAAGAGTGGGGTGTCGTGCTCTTCTATCAGGTGAACCTTCAGCTCCTAAAGATCCTGCACCTCTATCAGGTGAACCTTTAGCACCTAAAGATTTTGAATTTTGCTGGTCTACAAAGGCTGCTTTTGATGAGATTATGGAGGCACTTAAAAATGATGGCACCCATATGGTTATATTGTATGGGATGGGCGGTGTGGGTAAAACAACTTTAGCAAGAGAAGTGCGTAAAACAGTCAAAGAAAAGGGCATCTTTAAGGATGTTGTGATGGCTACTGTATCGCAAACTCCAAACTTCAGAAATATTCAAGGTCAGCTGGCTGACTTCCTAGATTTGAAACTTACGCAAGAAACTGAAGAGGGAAGAGCTCAGAGGTTGTCTTCAAGATTGTCAAATTCTAATAATAATCTTATAATCCTCGATGATGTTTGGGAAGAATTCGATTTCGAGGAAAAAATAGGTGTTCCATTGAGCAAAGGTTGCAAAATGCTTCTGACAACCCGCAACAAAAAAATATACACTCATAGGGAGTATCAATTATTAATTCCTCTAAATGTTTTAGAGGAACATGAAGGAGTGGCTTTACTCAAAAGGCAAGCATGTTTAGATGATGACTGTGACGACTTGAATACTTTGGCTACTCGAATTGCTAGAGAATGTGATGGTTTGCCTTTAGCACTTGTAACCATTGGAAGGTACTTGAATGGAGAGAAAAAAATTGAAATGTGGGAATTTGTGTGTGACAAACTAAAAAAGTCAAAACTAGAGGATTTATATCATGTTAATAGTGAACAGAGAGGTGTCTATGCCAGTCTTAAGTTGAGTTATGATTATTTGAAAACAAATGAAATTAAATTTTGTTTTTTGATGTGTTCACTTTTTCCTGAGGATTTTGAAATTCCTTTGGAGGATTTGGTTAGAATAGGAGTGGGGTTAGATTTATATAAAGGTGTTTCATCCATTGAAGAAGCAAGGAGGGCCCTACGTTCAATGGTTGAAACCCTGAAGGCTTTGGGTTTGCTATTAGATGCTTATGGAAAAGAATTTGTGAGAATGCATGATATAGTTCGTGATGCTTGTCTATGGATAACATCAAAGGGGGAGAATATATTCATGAGCAAGATTGGCATGGATTTGATGCAGTTGACAAGGGAGAAAGGCTGGAAACAATATACAGCAATCTCCTTGTTGGAAAACAAACTAAAAGAGCTCTCTGTTAGACTGGTATGTCCTAAGCTTAAACTATTACTATTGGGTGGTGAAAATCAATGGTCACCGTTGAAAGTTTCAGATGAATGTTTCCAAGAGATGAAAGCACTAGAAGTTGTAAGTTTAAGATATGTAGACCTTTCGCTGAAGTCACTTCAATTCTTGACAAATCTCAAGACTCTAGTGTTGTCTAATTGTAATTTGAGAGACATTTCTTTCCTTGCCAAGGTGAACAAACTTGAGATTCTTAGCTTTAGAGGTTCTCGTTTTGACGAATTACCAATAGAATTGAGTGAACTTAAGGAACTCAGAATGTTGGATTTACGTAAGTGTTATCAGCTAAAAAGAATTCCTTCCAATTTGATACGAAGCTTTTCTCAATTAGAAGAATTATACATGGAGAAGGACATCTTTGAAGAAAGGGAGGTTGAAGAGAAGAGTATAGAAACAGGCAATGCTAGGCTTTCAGAGATAAATTGTCTATCTCGCTTGGCTATTCTGTATTTGAAAATAAATTCAAAATGCCTTCCAAAAGACTTTGCTTTCCCCAAACTTTCAAGGTATGAAATTGTTGTGAACAAAACTTCTCGATCTTCAGAATCAGCAAAAGCTTTAATAATTGCTGATATTGATGCAACCTTATTGACTGCATTATTTAAAGCACTATATCATAGTGTAGAACATCTTAGTTTGGAAAGAGTAACAGGTTGTCAAAATATCCTCCCAAGCATTGACCAAAAGGGATTGAAATTGAATACTCTTCATGTTTCAGATTGTAAAGATTTGAAATGCATGATAGATGCATCGCAACTGGGGGAAGAAAATTCTGAGTTGCATCCAGGTTTAGCAAAGTTACTGTTGGTAAGGTTACCAGAATTGCAGTGTATATGGAAGGGGCCCATGTCCATTAATATTGTAAACTTCCAAAGTCTTACGAATGTTTATGTGGGATGGTGCAAAAGCTTGGCTTATCTTTTCACTTTATCAATTGCCTGGAGTTTGGGGCAGTTGAAATCACTCCGTGTAGAAGATTGTGAGAGTTTGGAGTTCCTGATCAAGATAGAAAGGGGTGATAATGGCAAGGGAGAGAAAATGTTGTCAAAATTAGAAGATCTTGAAATTAGAAGATGCTCGAGATTGGAATATGTTTTTCCGGTGTTTGTTGCAGCAGGTCTTATACAACTTGAAAATCTTGAAATAAGAGATGCAGCAGAGTTGAAGCAAGTATTTCATGGAAAAGAAGAAAATGAAGTTGCAGAGGACGGAAAGGACATCAAGTTGCCTAATTTAAAAAAGCTAAAGCTTTACACACTTGAAAAGCTTACCAGATTCTTTCCAGAAAATAATCATTCAACTCTGCCAGCTTTGGAAGAGTTCCAGTTGATTGAATGTCCGAATTTGACAATTAAAGAGGGAGATCTAGAAGAGGTATGTTTTTAATTTTTATTTTTATCTTAACACAAATTGTTGTCACAATTTTTTCCTCTTCTTTTTTTTTTTTTTACCTAAAATGGACGAACATGCTTGAATTTGACCAATATTAAAATAATAAAAAATCAACATGCATAAATTTCAATAAATTATTTTAATTTCTTTGCGATAAATATGGAAAGAAAAAAGTTTTATTGGTTAAATAAAAGATTTTACCACCATTTGTTTTTTTCACTTTAAGTGAGGTATCAACAATGAAAAATTATATCATAATTATTAAATCTTTATCTATTAGACCTTTAGAAGGATCATTTAGCTATACATTATCATGATATAATTATTCATTACAATTGACATTAATTCCATTCAGCCCCTGAGAGATTGTTAAGTCTCAAGGGCCCTAATAATTTTATTGCTTTTTTATTTTTTATTTTTTATTTTTGTATACTTTGTGAGTAATTTTAATTTATTTTTTTAAAAGAACTAATTTAAATTTATACAATTACTTTGCCCTTATATAAAATTAAAATTAACTCTAATTAACTTTTTGTTAATCAGTTCAATTTTGAAGTTTAACAATAAAAATTTTTAAAGTAAAAGTTTTATTTTGATTACACACACACACATATAAAATTTACTTGTATTTAATAATGTAATAACAAATTGACACAAGACATACTTATACTATTGCAAGTTGACACATTACAATCTAGTGATCAAACTGTACAAATGTTTATTACTTACAACTTTTCATTATTATTATTATTTCATTGTACTATTAGAAAAAAAAGATTTGCTTAATTGTTATAATAAGGTGGATCTAATAAATTTTGATAAGAACAAAGTGATTTTTTTCCATACAAATTGTGTATTCAAAGGTTGAGTTAATTGAAATTACCTTTCTGATTTACAGAGTTAAATTAAGAAAATTATAAGATGGAAAATAACATCTTCTTTATTATTAGTGTTATTATTTTTGAGAAATTATATAATTTTAGTTTCAATAATAAAATAACAGATTTTGTTTATTGTTTTAGTAGTTGTTGGTGTGATTTCATGGATCTCATAATTTTTTTGTAAGACATCTAACTGATTGGTTTTCTTAGGCACCGCGGATTGTGGAGATAAGTAATTGTTGTAGTCAATCATGTAATGAAATTCTCTCTAGGTTTAGATGTGACTTCTTCAAAAATTTTGAAGAATTAAGCATTGAAAATTGTGGAGTAAAAGAGGTATTCCAGTTGGAAGGACAACAACATAAATTATCACTTCCAAAATTAAAGAGTTTGGAGTTGTATGACCTGGAAGAACTAGAAGGTTTATGTAAAGGTCCTGCTCATGTTTTAAGGTTGGAGAATCTAACCACTTTATCCATAGGCAAGTGCAAAAAGCTAAAACATATCTTCTCATTTACTCTTGCTCAGAGGTTGGGTCAATTGGAATCACTTACTGTATGGGATTGTGAGAATTTGGAACAAGTATTTTATTTGGATCGTGAAAGAGAAGAATATGTAGGTGGAGGAGCTCATAAGAATATTGTGCTTCCAAAATTGAAGATGTTAGAACTTGAAGGGCTTGCAAAGCTAGTAATCTTTTTTCCAGAAAAATATGCTGCATGTTGTCCAGCTTTGGAAGAGTTCAGAGTAAAAGACTGTTCCAAATTAACTACAACTTTCATTGTTGAAGAGGTATGCTAAATCGTTATCTATTAGGCCTTTACCATTTGGATAGATATTTTATGCATGATAACCTTCTTGAAGAGTTAGTAATATTCAATCATAATAGTAGTAATTGGATAGATATTCTATAGACATTATTAAAAAATTGTTAAAATTTAAGTTTACCAATTACTACAACTCCCTTTATGGGAATAAAATTCTTCCAAGTTTAATAAAACTTATTCAGCAATAGCATATCAGACCATTCACTTAAAATTATAAATGAATCTACTTTGTTATTGTTCAATTTAATTTCAGCTTCTCTTAGAATTTTTGGATTTTTTAGTTAATTAAATAAAATATATAAAAGATTCTCTTACTTTTTTTTAGTGGTTGGCAGTACGGTATAATCTATTGGCATAAATTTATCTAATAAACTTTTTATAACATTATTGTGCAGTTTCATAATCTGCAGGTTGTAAAGATGAGTAATTGCAGTAGTCAATTGTGCTATGGAATTCTCTCTGGGTTGAGATGTGGCTTCTTCAAACAAATTAAAGAATTAAGCATGGAAGACTGCGGAGTTCTAGAACATGAATTATCATTCTCAAATTTGAAGAATTTGACCTTTTTAACAATAGCTCACTTCAACAAGCTCAAACATATCTTCTCACTATTTGTTGCTCGAAATCATATGTTGCAATTGAAAAGGTTGTGCATCAGAGAATGTGCGGAATTGGAGCAAATCATTGATGTTAAAGATGGTGAAGAAGTTGGAGCAAATCTTCTCCAAACTCTATCAGATATTACAGTGGAAAAGTGCCATAAATTAAAATATCTGTTTCCTATCTCCATAGCTCGGGGTTTTCAACAACTGAAATTCCTACGAGTAATTGATAACTCTGAATTAGAAGAAATATTTGGAGATAATGATGTGATTGATAAGAAAGAATTTCGCTTGCCTCAACTTACGTGGATGTGCCTGGAAGATTTACCAAGACTCACCAACTTTTGCCATGTGGATTATCACTTCATATTTCCAACACCACGACTTGAATTGTTGGTAGTCCAAAGATGTCCAAAGATAAGTACAAGATTTTCATGGGATGAAGATAATAAAAGTGTGCATGCGGAAGCAAAGGTACTTCTATTTTTTAATTATAATTGATTAAAGATTTTAAGTGAAAAGGATCTGCTTATTATTCTTCACAATAAGGAACTTCTTTTCATACATTTACTTCTTATGTAATGCCACAAAAAGCTTAATATTACTATCTTCCCATTTGATGCTTCCAATATCTGGCTTTTGCAGGCACCCAAAATAGGTAGCGCCAAAGATGATAGTCACGAAGAGAAGGCACCTGAAATAGGCAGTGAAGATGAAAGTCAAGAAGAGCAGGCACCTGAAATGGGCAGTGAAGATGAAAGTCAAGAAGAGCAGGCACCTGAAATGGGCAGTGAAGATGATACTCAAGAAGAGCAAGCACCTGAAATAGACAATGAAGATGAAAGTCATGAAGAGACGTCTACAGGTCTCATTTGCGGCTGGAATGATTTTAAAAATTTACCTCGGTACATAAAAGTTGAAGAGGTTTATTCCAATTCTCATCCAACAGAATGAAGAAAGAACACTGAAACTTAGAAACATGCTCATCGTTTCTAATCAGGTAATTGAATTTATTTTCTAAACATTGAATTTGTTTCAAGAGGCTCCAACATAAATGTACTTGTGATTAATTATATTTCTTTTGATGGTTTTTCAGTTGGCTCCACCGAATCCAATGAATATTAGTCTGTTTGAGGGGAAGCAGAAGAAAATTCAATTCACCGTCTTCAATTTGATGAATTTTCTAAACTGCACTTGTTATATATATTTGTTCTATTTTAAGTCCAATATCAATTCACTTGTTATGTGAATTTTCTAATGGATTATTGACAGAGTTTATGTTTGGGTTAGTAACTGATGTATTTTGTATAATTCAGGGTGAAGTTCATTAATCTGGTGCTTAATTGTTATAATCTGGTGGATCTAATCAGTACTTCTGCTGCTACAATTAACTCAACTTTGTCCTTCACCTCTTCAGTACTTCTGTTCTGCTGCTACAATCTTTTCAATATCTACTGCTTCGTTTTACTCCTGCTTCAAATTCTCTATTACGCATCTTCTATTACTGCTGTAACTTGTTCTTTACCTTCACTAATTACTTGCCCTTTCAAATACTGAGAAGATGGTATAACAATAAGTTTACTTCTTAAGAACTCAAAACTGTCTTGCCAGTTGCCACCAATGGTTTTGTAAAGATGTCAACATTTTGCACTTCACTAGGAACATACTAAATTCTTATCAAATTTGCTACAACTTGCTCTTTTACATAATGTATATCAATCTCAATTATGTTTTGTTTATATTCTGCCTCAATCTCAATAGGTTCTACAAAGCTCTATAATCTCCCTCCCTCAGTGGATGATAAAGCCATTACTTTTCTGTTTTCTACAACTCCATTGCACTAAATTAGGACTAAGAAAAACATAGCATCCACTTGTAGATCTTCTATCTTGTACACAATTTGCCCAACCATATTTGCATAGCACTCCAACCATATAATAAGGTACCTTTTAAGTACCTAAGTACTCTTTGTAGGCTTGCCACTGGAACTGAGTTGGTTGCTTAAGAAATTGACTTAGTTTATCACTAAGAAAGTAATGTCAGGCTTGGTTAAGGTTAAGTATTAGTATTGAAGAGCAACTACTGTGCTTCTATATAAGGCAAGAGTGTCAAACTCCTCACTATCTACAGCAGCAAGTTCAATTCCCAAAGCCATTTGACTGTAGCCTTCCAGTCTACTTTAGAAGATCTTTGGCGTATTTAGCGATTGAGATGAATGCCATTGCTATTTTGAAAAGCTTCTAAACTAACAATAAGCTATTGAATTCACAAAACAAAGATATTTTTCAGAACAAAGATGATGAAATGTTAGTCTCACCCAACTTTTCTCTTCAACAATACAGTTGATGTTTAATTCATAATAGACACTGAAGATATCTTCTTTTTCTTCATTTTTTTAGGGAAAAGAAACAAGAAATTGAAAAACACGAATTGGCGAGAACTGGACTCGGAATTGAGCCACATTTAACTTAGGATTCGGAACAACAGAGCATCACACCTAATGTATACAGAACTGAGCCCAATGTAACTTTCTAGATAAACCAAGTGCATATCGTAACTATTGTGGAATTAACCTTCACCACTTTATTTCAATCCACAACAAAACAATAAGTGGCGGCTAAAAGCCCAGATAAGTAGGGATACTAAGGCAAGTAAAAGCAAGTCCTACATAACTGTTTATATCCTGATCAAAACTGTCACAAAATTAACATACAGCTAAGGCAAATTATTTCTGAAGTTTCCCAAATAATCAATTGCCACTGTTACACTCAGATGTTACCCTCATAGCGTTTAGGCCAATTCTGTGGATTTCAGCCCTCTGCCAATGAGTACAACAGAGAATGAAGTGCAGAACATGAGAATTGAACAACTCTAACTCAAATCGACAAAAGTACTCCATGAAAACAAACTCCTCACCAACAACACAATACAAAACCACATATTAACAATTAGTGCTTAAAAGCATATTCAACACCACGAATCACTATACTACCACCATCACCAACATCACAGAACAACCCTTTGCAGGATTATACATTTATCACATTTAAGTTCTTATAAGGTCATTATTCATAAGGTGGTTTCAGCACTAATTAACAATTAGACTCTAAAAACACTAAAAATTAACAACAAAATTCTCCACTTTATCAAATCCAACACCAAGAAAAATGCTAGCAGAACATTAAATCAGGCAATTTCATACTAATCCACGAAAGCAAAAACCAAACTAACATTAATAAAAATCCCACTAACCTTATAATCTCCTCTCTTCCACTTGCCACTCCTCAAATACCGATCACTCTCACACAACCTCCTCAACACAACCAAAGTCAACCCAATTGCCAAATCCGCCACGTCATCAGTCAACACATCAGGAGTGTTTGTGACTCTTATTCCCTTCTCTTTACACTTCCCCAAGTCAACTTTGTCAAGCCCCACGCTGAAACTCGCCGCGATCTCAAGCTTTGGCAAAGCTTCTATCAGTTCAGCCTCAGCGCCGGCCGCGGCATTCCCGACAACCGCACGGATGCTGTTCTTGTGCGTGTTCAGGAACTGGGTCTTGTCTGAAAAGTTCTGTATATTGAGTCGGACAGATAAAATGGAAGATGAATCAAGATCCAAGCTTTCTACCTGTTTGCCGCATACCTGAAAATTTGATTCGAGTAGGATTGATTTTCAGATAGGATTGGGTAATTGTAATTCACATGAAATAGTTCAGCACCCTTTCACTAGTGTTTTGAACGCGGTAGATGGTGTCAACTAACCTGGCAACTCTACGATCATGCCACTTGGTTATAGATGATGATGTGCTATACAATAAACATGGTCTTTCTGAGTTCCGCAATCCATGTAACATTTGTTATTCTCTTATTCGTCCGATCAATGAACCCTTCAGGTAGCACGTCCGTCAGATTAGCATAATCAGTAGGATTACCAACTTGACCCTTCGGTGGAGGTTGACACAGGGACCACAAAAACCGATGGCCGCAATGTTCAAGCGCACAAGCGATATCTTTCGCCTGGTCCTCACTGAAGCTTCCCATGCTCCCGGGGCAAAGAAACACAATCGATGATGGCGGTTGATCATCAAGCCACTCCTTGATCTTTGTTATTGAGATGGATCCACCTGATCCTCGATCACTCTCATCACCCTCTAAATTCAAAATGGGTCCCGGTGTATACACAGGTGGGGTGTTGTTCAACTTACCATCTGAGATAGACTCGACCGCATAGGATTCCAACTGCTTGAATGTATTTACAATAATGCCCTCTCTTCTCTAAACCCCCTTGCTTGTTGAAACATAGCAGTAGTCAACGGCTAAACGAGACTCGGGACAAATTACTCAGTGACCGAGTCTTTCAACTCAGTGATGGGCTGGTTTTGCTCATCACAAAGAACTTGCAAGTGTAACTGCATACTAAGAAAAGCTGCACTGGAGGTGTAGAAAATGCAGCTAGGAACTCCAAAATCATTCGCAACTTCAATCATGTCCGCACAGAACATATCGAGAACGAACCCGGCGAGTCGAGGTGAGTCACCAGAGACTGACTCCGTCTGAATTAGCTTAGTGACTGCTTCTTTGACGAGGTGTTAATGGCTTTTGACGAACGAATCCATGAAGCTTATGCGAGAAGATATTTTGAAGGGGAAAGATTGACTTCTGGGAGTTGAATGATTTTGAAGTTCGGGTTGAGTGGGGAGAGAGAGTGAATGAAGGTAGACGGGGACTTTCGTGTCGAAGGGGAGCTGCATGACGAGGACGGTGATGGAGAGGCGGTGGTCACAGTGGACCAGGAGCTTTGCCATCTCCGCCATCGTTACAACGTGGCCGACGCCGGATGAAGGGATCAACACTAGCTCAGCTTTCTTCATCCTTTTGTTTTGTACATTTGTTTACTAACAAAGTGGAAAGTTACATACAGGACAAAGGGCTGATAAAGATGATGATATAATTACTATGCCAGTTTACGAGAAAAATATTTATTTAATAATAAAGAAATAAAAAAGGTAGCCTGGTCGCCGCCGGCTTAGGTGTGACGGGCGAGATCACGCTTGTAAATCAAAATAATTTTTTTAAAGTTATCATCTCGACCGTCTATATCTGAAGGCATTGAGTTATTATTGTGCCTGTCGCTGTCGCCGGGCGAGTGGGCCAAGATAAACACACGTCGTAACTGACTCATCATAAATGTGGTGTTGTTTAATCGTTAATGGTTCAGTTATCATTTTGGTCCTCTTTTATTTGTAGTGAAAGATTTGTTTAGGAAAATAATAGAGTTATAAAAAAACTAAGTGAATCGGATTTATGCATAGAATGATATGATGTAATTTGTGTTACTCGATAATTAAAATTATGTCATATTATTTAATATATAAATTCGATATATTATTTTTTATAATTATAACATTACTTGTTTGTTTAATAGTATCGACCAATGTATGAAAATTACCGTGAAAGTGAGACACATCAATGGGTGTATAATAGCTTATTTTATTTCATTCAATTTTTGTTTTTAAGTATGAATACACCATTTTTTTTATTTTATGATGTGACATCCTATATGGCATATGCCACCTCAATTGGTTATTGTTTGGTTTGCAAATTTAGGATAGATGAATTTTGGAAGGAGATTTGAATTTGGGGAATTCTAGGTCCCTTTGGTTTAATATTTTTCACTATTCTGTTTATACTATTTCCAAAATACCAATTTATTTTCCTAAAAATGTTATTATATTTTATTTAACTATTTTTAAATCCCTTAAGTTTATTAATTTGACTAAACATCCACAGAACAAAATTTAGAAATTAACAAAAACACCCTTATCACCCACATTTATCAGATTCCGATCACCACCGCCGAAAGGTGGTCGAAATCTAGTATAATAGCGTACTATCGATTAGATCTGACCGATAGTACGTCAATCTATCATTTTTCAGTCAGATCTGATCGAAAAAGGCCAGATCAACAACAAAAGATCTGACCACCGAAAAACACTGCTCTAATACATGAACAAATTGCATTTGAGAGAAGAGAATTTTTTTTTATTCAACTCAAAGGGATCCGTTTACCAGAAGAACAATATATATATATATATACAAGTAACCAAAATGAGTCAATCACAATTAATTAACCATAACAACTAACTAACTATTTAACCAATTAACTAAACCACTTAACTAACTAACTGACAGATTAACTAGCTAACTAAACTAATTAATTAATTATACTAATAATCCAATAGTCATGCTGGCACAAAACATGTCGAGGACAGACCCGACGAGTCAAGGTGAGTCATGGGAGGCTGACTCGGAGTGAACTAGCTTAGAGACTGCTTCTTTGATGAGGGGTTTACAAGATTCAATGAACGAAGTGAAGAAGCTTCTGGGTCNTTGTGGGAGTTGAATGATTTTGAATTTCGGGTTGAGTGGAGAGAGAGAGAGAGTGAATGAAGGTAGACAAGGACTTTGGTGTCGAAGGGAAGCTGCATGACGAGGACGGTGATGGAGAGGCGGTGGTCACAGTGGACCAGGAGCTTTGCCATCTACACCATCGTTACAACGTGGCCGACGCCCGATGAAAGTTATCAAAATAATTTTTTGAAAGTTATCATCTCAACCGTCCATATCTGAAGGCATTGAGTTATTATTGTGCGTGCCCCTGTCACGGGGCGAGTGGGGGGTGAACTCAGTAACTGACTCATCATAAATGTGGTGTTGTTTAATGGTTCAGTTATCATTGTAGTGCTCTTTGATTATTTGTTTGATAGTGTCGGCGGATGTGTGGAAACCAACGTGAGAGTGAGACACATCATTGGTGTACAATAGAAAAAGACTTTAATATCCTTTGTCTTATACTACTTTATTTTCTTATTTTATTTCATTCAATTTTTGTTTTTAATTATTACATCACCTTCTACACCGTCTCTTTTACTTCATGACGTGGCATCTTACATGGTATATGCAATCACAGCCGGATATTGTTTGGTTTGCAAATTTAGGATAGAAGAATTTTGGGGGCGATTTAAATTTGGGGAACTCTAGGTCTTTTTGGTTTAGTATATTTTACTGTCCTATTCATACTATTTAAAGAAAAATACTATTATTATAAAGAAGGCTATCAAGTAACATAAGAAAGAAAAAAAAAAAAAAAAAAACAAAAGAGATAGAGAGAGAATTATGAAGATCAAGAGTAGTAATTGTCTTTGTATGCACCATTTGTATTTGTCTTTATAAGGATATCACTTCTCATTTCTAAAATACTACTATATTTTATTTAACTATTTTTAAATCTTTTAAGTTTATTAATTTAACAAACACCCACAAAAAAAAGTTTAGAAATTAAAAAAAACACCTCTATCTATCCACATTTGCCAGATTCCGACCACTATAGTAGAAAAGTAGTAGAAATCTGATATAATAGCGCATTATCGACTGGATCTAGCCGATAATACATCAATCTATCATTTTTTGACTGGATCTATAATAAATTTGATCGAAAAAGATGAGATCAACGACCAAAGATTCGACCGTCCAAAAAACACTGATTTGATACCATGAACAAATTGCATTCGAGAGAAGGAAATTTTTTATTCAGCTTAAAGGGATCCGTTTACAAGAAGCATAGTTTATATGTATATACAAGTAACCATAGTTAGTCAACCACAGTTAATTAACCATAACAACTAACTAACTATTTAACCAATTAACTAAACCACTTAACTAACTAACTGACAGATTAATTAGCTAACTAAACTAATTAACTGATTATACTAATAATCCAATAGTCATGCTGGTATAAAACATGTTAAGGACAAACCTGGCGAGTCGAGATGAGTCAAGGGAGGTTGACTCAGAGTGAACAAGCTTAGAGACGGCTTCTTTGACGAGGTGTTTATGAGATTCAATGAACGAAGTGAAGAAGCTTCTGGGGTCGAATATTTGAAGGTCATCGCTTGGGAGATGAACGAAGTTGATGCGGTCACTAGCAAAGAGTGAGTTTAGATAGGTGTTAACTTTGGAGTCAATGGGTAATTTCATGACAAGGACCCTAATGGAGATGCGTTGGTGGCGGTGGACGAGGAGCTTGGCCAGCTCCAAGGTGTCTGACGCCTGGTGTAGGGATGAAGACAGGTCGGCTTCTTGTTCATTGAAGCTGGTTATTGTGTTCTTGAGTTTTGAGAGTAAAATTCAATAAAAGTTAAAATGGATTTTAAAATGGAAATTAATTGAAGTAAAACTATCTATGTAAACAAGACGATAAGTCAGCGATGATTAAATGCTTTGCTAACAGGGAGAAGACCTGTATGTGTTCAAATAACTGGAAATTGAAAAGTAGCTGAGTATTACTATTCAGACTCTCATAAATCTAACCTTACGTTAGTGATTTATGTTCAAATATTTTACCAATAGAGAAAGATGTCTTGCTTTTTGATTAATCAAAATCATCCTCAACTAGGTTATGGCAAATTATTTAAAAGTCAAGTCTTGCCTTGTTTATCAGATGTTCATGATGTATTAACTTGTGACATGGTAGACATAAGCCATACTTGCTCTATATAAATGCAGTGTGAAAAGAATTAAGAAGATTATTGTTTATCTGTTGGAATTCACATGAAATATTTTGGGCATCTTTTACCTGTTAGAACTTAAGAGGGCGCAAACTGGCAGAAGGCGGTAGATGGCGTTGACTCCCCTGCCAACCATTATTTTTTTCCTGCTCAATTGCAGATGATGAGGAGATTACCGGATTGTAGAGTTGTCGATCCAGGACATGAAGCGCTATGGGGTGAATATGGTCTTGTTGAGTTCCTACATCCATGTAACATCTGTTCTTTTGAAAAAAAAAAAGGGAAAATGAAATTACATGAACTAATTAACATTCATCAGAGCATGAAAGCTCACTATAAGGAGAAGGATATAATAAACTAAAAGACCAACTGCTAGCCTTTCAACAGCGAATCATTTTTGCAGCTAGCTGTCTTCAGTTTACTTTCAAAATCTGTGAAGAATATTCATGTTCATTCATTAAACAAAGAGATGGCATCTAGATTGGAGCTTCAGGTGGCCCTATATCAGCATTTTTTTTATTTCCATGGCTAATCCTTCCAACATCTCATATATCTTATGACATGGTTTTTTTATAAGACTTGAACAAGCCTCTCATTTTAATCCATTTTAATTTCAACCGCTAATCCCAACTCAATCACCATTTCAAAGGCATTCAATTAATTGGAACGCCGAACCATATGCTCTCTAGTGTAGAATTCCACCTACAGTGTGATACGAACCCTCCGATCACCTTGTGGCCTAAGATTGACACTTGTGGAGTCCATCTGATTACTTTTCCAATCTTGTCCATCTGAACCAAACGCCCCTGAGGTGATAAAACTATTTTATATAAGTATTTTGCCATCATTACATATATACGATTGATGCAATTTTTCGATTATCTTTTGTATTATTGATGTGGTAAGTATTTTTTTTTTTAAATGACAGATGAAATTTCATGAACCACTGTTGCTCCATATAAATTCAGTGGGAAAATAATAAGAAGAATGTTATTTACATGCTGGGATTCATATGAAAAAGTTCAGCATCCGTTTACCAGTGTTTTGAAGGAAGAGAAAACAAGGTTAGAAACTTGGAACTTAGAATGCCGAGTTGAAGGTCAACTGTTGTAGCTCCTTCAATCTCCTAGGTTTAATTCATATGGTCTGCAGAGGAACACTGGCGCAAACTGGCAAATGGCGGTAGATGACGTCGATTCCCCTGGCAACTCCATGATCATGCTGCTCGATTGTATAAATTGTTTGACTGATATATAAATTTTAATTATTAAACTATAATCCATTTTTTTTTCCTATATATAGACATAACTCTACATGATCAGGTCTACGTTTCATAAATGTTATGAACATTTTTTTTCAACATTCACACATGTTCAAAGGCTTCAAATTTGATTTCAATGAAGACATTTAATGCCACCGAATTGAAAGCAAAATTTTAACTTCATGTATATCTCATAAAGTCAACATTCTCAAGCTAATATGGTGGCTACAAGCAATGTTTTAAAACTTGGCCCAAGCAATGACCCGGTTAGGTGATTGTGTCTCGAGTCGAGTGGCAACCGACGGGTCAGACCGGTCAATCTTTCCACTTAATTTATCAATTAGTATTGTATGGTTAATATTTAATGAGTAAAAAGAACATTATTAGATCTCTCAATTAAAACAAGGACTATGTTAACTTAAAAAATTGAATATTTTATATTTTGATATTTATTGCTTGTTTAGTTTCACCACTTCAAACTGAAAATAAATCATATTCTTCTTAATAAAAAAAAAAGGGTTTTTAACTAAATACAAAAACTTATTTGTTTGCCTCAAATGACCTTTTCAAAAATAATTATACCCCTTAAAACCTTAATCTCTTTATATTTTATTCACGTTTTTATTTTACTTTCATTATTATATCACCTTCCACAACACTTTATTATATTATTTAATATAATAGGGATGTATTTTTTAATTTAAATTTCTGATTTAAATTTTTGACACATTTTCAGCTGTAAATTCAATACAGTCCAATGGTGTAGGAGTTGCTGGAGTGGAAAAGAAAATAACTATCTTCAAATTCCTTCTCAGATCCATTGGGTTGCAAAATATCCATATATTTTAAGTTAAAAATATCATCTGTAATACAATAATGTAGTGAGTACGTATTGTTATTCTCAACATGTATTTTAATAATTTTCCCAACTTCTTATATTTCTCTTAATATAGTTATCTAGAATTAATTTTGTAATCAAGCTAAAAACAATTAATAATGTTAGTTATTTGCAAAGTTAATATTTTCGTTATTATCAAATTCATCATTTGTAATATAAGCATAAATATATATCATATTTAATATTGATAAGGTCGTTTATGTGAAAAAATTAGTTTTTAGATATTTAAAATTTGTAAAAATAAATATTTAATACATATAATTAGATATTTAAAAATTACAAACAAAAATATTACAAACATTTCATGTGTTTTTATTCATTCAAAGTTATTCAATTACCAATACCGTATAATTATGAAACAAGTTAACAAAGACATTGTTGGAATCAATTTTGAAAAACAATTTCACAAAATAATGTCAAAATATTCCAAAAGTATCATAATCCATGTTGATGCTGCTTTTTGGCACCAACCAAATTGTCACGTGCGTTACGTTGATTGGCTGTTAAATACACGTGAAAACGAAATGTATAAAGCGAAATAAATGCAAAAGGAGTTTTTTAAGTGGTTCGGATGCTAAGGTAGCAAGTCCTACGTCCACTGACTTGTATTGATATTAGTGTGGGTCAAGTCGCAAAAGCGGACCGACTTACAAAAGAGTTGGAAAGAGTAAAATGTGTTTACAGGAGAGAGAGAGAGAGAGAGAGAGAGAGAGAGAGAGAGAGTTTTTCTCAGTATGAAAATGGCCGAATCCCCTTAATGAAGGGACCTTCTTCATTTTATATCAAACTGAAGCGTATAATCATCATTAAATCCATGGGTTGGTGTGATTGTCAGGATATAATCCGGCTTTACGTCCCATTTTCCTTTTTCCAAGCTGACTTCGCACGACTTATTGCAGGGAAATGGACGCGTGTGAGCTCCATATTATTTAGCAGGTCTGACGTGTGCGTGTTGCCCTGACGGGAGCAGGTCACCCTTCACGTGACTTTCCCACGTCAGCCCTTTATTTACCCAGGCATAACAATCCATTTAGATACTGAAAGTCTTTCCTTGATATTCCAAGTCTATCTTCAACTTTTGACGTATCTATTACTCTTAAATAATTCAAATGAAGAGGTGCAAATTATTTCATTATCAATTAAATTTTTGACGTATCTATTACTCTTGAATAATTTTTATTAACATTCATCAGAGCATGAAAGCTCACTATAAGGAGAAGGATATAATAAACTAAAAGACCAACTGCTAGCCTTTCAACAGCCAATCATTTTTGCAGCTAGCTGTCTTCAGTTTACTACACATGGTTTTCGTTCTCCCATTTTCAAAATCTGTGAAGAATATTCATGTTCATTCATTAAACAAAGAGATGGCATCTAGATTGGAGCTTCAGGTGGCCCTATATCAGCATTTTTTTTATTTCCATGGCTAATCCTTCCAACATCTCATATATCTCATGACATGGTTTTTTTTATAAGACTTGAACAAGCCTCTCATTTTAATCCATTTTAATTTCAACTGGTAATCCCAAGTCAATCACCATTTCAAAAGCATTCAATTAATTGGAACGCCAAACCATATGCTCTCTAGTGTAGAATTCCACCCACAGTGTGACACGAACCCTCCGATCGCCTTGTGGGCTAAGGTTGACACTTGTAGAGTCCATCCGATTACTTTTCCAAATCTTGACCGTTCGATCGAGAAATCCTTTTGGCAGCATGTCCGTTGGATTTGTATAGTCACTTGGTATGGCGAACTGACCCTTTGGTGAAGGTTCACGTAGGGACCATAAGAACCGATACCCACTCTGCTCGAGCGCACATGCAATCTCTTTCACCTGATCCTCATCAAAACTTCCCATGCTCCAGAAGCATAGGAACACAGTCGACGATGGCGGCTGATCATCAAGCCACTCCATGATTTCTGCTTTTGTTTTGGACCCACCTGGCCCTAAATCAATGCTATCACCCTCAAGATTCAAAATGGGTCCTATAGAACAAACGGGTGGGACATTAGTTTCACCATTTGAGAAAGACTTTATCATATTACTATACTAGACTCCAGCTCCATGAATGAATTTACAACAATACCCTTAACCCTTCGGAACCTCCATGCTTGCTCAAACACTATCATATACCAATCTTTCTCCAAGTATGCAGAAGGCATAACTTTAGCAGGAATTGGGTTAACTAGACTCGGTACTTCCAACTCGGTAACCGAGTCTTTCAACTCAGCGGTGTGCATGTTCTGATCATCATAAAGAGCCTGCGCGTGAAACATCAAACCGAGAGACCCTGCACTCGATGTGTAGTAAATATAGCTCGGAACTCCAAGCTCATCAACAATATCGATCATGACTGTATAAAACATGTCGAGAACGAACCCGGTGAGTCTGGGTGAGTCATCGGAGGCTGACTTGGAGTGAAAAAGCTTAGAGACAGCTGCTTTGACGTGGGGTTTATGAGATTCAATATATAAAGGCAAGAATTTTCTGGGTTGGATCCAGGAAGTGGAATGTGATCGTTGGGAAGATGAACGAAGTTGATACGGTTGGCTGCAGAGACTGAGTCGAGGTAGGCTGACTTTGGAGTCAGGAGGTAGTATCATGACGAGGACGGTGATGAGAGGTGGTGGACGAGGAGCTTGGCCAGCTCCACGGTGGAGAAGAGGTGGCCGATGCCTGGTATAGAAATAAAGCTGAGCTTTCTTGTTCATTGTGTGGATGATTGACGATTCCTTTTGTTGGTTGTGAGTAAAATTACACCAAGCTTTTATGGATATACTAATAGTAAATGATGTCACTGCCTTGCTAGTAGTGAATAGAGGAGAGACACGTGTAACTCATGCTCTGTGTGTACTGTATATACCATGTCAGCATACAACGCATGTACTACGGTTGAGTATATCCATACTTGATGAGCAAGATCATCCAGTGAAATAGTGACATGTGTTATCTTTTTTCTCTTCCATCCGTTGTTAACATTATTAATCAATAATTATGTTATATGATTCATCAATAACCGACATAATACGAAAACTAATTTTATATGTTATTTACATGGCGGAATTCATATGAAAAAGTTCAGCAGTTGATCACATTTTAATGTTCTTACCTTGCTCTATCATAAGCAAGATGCTTATATTGAAATGCCTCCTTTGCATCATCCAAGGTGACAATCGCCACGACAGAACGATTTTCTTCACTCGACGCCAAATTCATCTCTTCTTCTTCCTCCAGACTTAAGTTGCTTAACAGACACTCTCGTTGCAGCCCTAGTAGCAGAAATCTCGAAGGCATTCAATGCCACACGAGCATCGCCACCACAATTAGATGACAAGAACTCAATAGCATCATCCTTCACCTCAACTCTCATTCCAGCACTCTTCCCCACCCCCCTATCGATATCCTCGATTGCTCACCTCAAAAGTGTCTCAACGTGGCACGGTTTCAACGCATTAAGTGTAAGAACTCGACAACGAGACAACAATGGCGTAATCAAATGAAAAGAAGGGTTCTCAGTGGTGACACCAATGAACACAATACTTCCATCCTCAATCACAGGCAAAAACGAATCTTCTTGTGACTTATTAAACCTATGAACTTCATCAACAACCAAACAGTCCTCTTATTCCAATTATTTTTCACTTTCACCCTCCTGGCTTCCTCAACTACTTCCCTAACATCCTTAACCCCACCAGTAACCGCAGACAAACACACCAAACGATAAGAAGACACAACAGAATCCACAATGGCTTTCCCAATTGAAGTCTTACCGGTTCCCGCGGGGGGGGGGGGGGGGGGGCCGGGGGGGGGGGGGGGGGGGGGGGGGGGGGGGGGGGGGGGGGGGGGGGGCCCAGAGGATGACGGAAGGGAGACGGTTGGTGTGGCTGACGACCTCGTGAAGCGTACGAGGTCTCATGCGCTCTGTGAGGGGCACATGAGGCGCATATGTCTTGACACCCTTCGCGGGGGGAGCAGATTCCACCAATTGGGCGGCGGAGGCAGTGGCAGTGGCAGTAGCAGCGGCGGGTCTGATGGGTTTGGCAAAGAAACGATCGAGTTTTGGTTGGGAGGGAGATGGTTTGTTCGGCGGAGGGGCGGCGGGAGAGAATCCATTCGGTGGCTTTGAGAGTGGATTTTCCGCCGGTGGCAGCGAGGGCTTCGGCGGCTAACTCGTTTGGGAAGCCCATGCTTAGTAGTTGTTCCGTCTCCATCACTTTGGATTGCAGTTAGAATCGAAGAGACATGGGTTTTGTTTGGTTTGTTCTGTTCGATCTGTTTAATACTAATTATTATTATCATCATCGGATTTTAAGGATCCTATGTGAATTGTTCTTTCTAATATTCTTCTTCAGAATTTAAAAATAAATATACTTAAAACAATAATTTTTAAAGTCCCCAGCCTTGAAGTTAAGTACACTTTGAATCTCCCGTGACATCTTTCATAATTTCGGATTTTTTTGAATAATATATTTAAGACTCTTTATTGTAACACCTAATCATCTAGGCCAGTTAGATTAATATTTACATCGATGTTTATATTTTGTAAAGTTAAAATCATCGCTGCCCTTTTAAGTCTACACATTCAAACTATTACAAATTATATTTATACATTAAATTAATGATATATATTGATTAACTATAACATAATAATTGGAACTATTGATGTGCTTCGTCATTTATATATATATATCATTTCTGTGAGTTGATCTCAATTGTTGTATGTTGATCAGTGACTATGAGCTCCAAGACTTTCTTCTTTTTCTCATAACCTTTTGCCCATAGAATTGCATACAAACCAAGAACGATCAATACTGATCCCATAATACTGAAAAATAAGAAGAAGAAAAAAAATAGTTAATTAATTTCAAAAATTAATGTTTAAATCTTGAAAAAACCTAACACCTTTGGTTAATTCAATATATTATCTTCTAGAAATAATTGACATTAATTTTATTGAAGAAAACTAAGAGTTTCCCTTAAATTCTAAAAGATAAATATATTTAATGTATACACATTAATTAGATTAACCATTGATCCATGATAATCAAACGTTTAAAAGTTGATGAAGTTGGCAATAATTATGAAAATGAATATAAATATAAGACTATTAGTATCAAAATATTATTGTTATTTGCAGCAATATGAAGAAAATAAGAGTAGAAATTCCATTCAAACAGATTTTAAGAGATTCATTGTAGCAGCTTAATATTGCTTCTCCATCATTTTCGATTGAAAGCAAAGGACCTGACCATGCAAAACAATTTTGTGGAAATATTTGGTCATAGAAATCAAGTTATGAGCGGTTTCCAAGGGGCATGGAGAAGGAGCAAGAAGGACGCTCTGAATGCAGTTTCAGAACAAGCATTGGAATTTCTCCAAAATTTTGAAATGATCAAAGTAATTGATGTGAATTTTGATAGAGTTGTTAGTCTGCAACAGAAATGTGAAGATAGAGGGAAAATTTGATGAAGAAGAATGTACACAGAAGAAATGAGCAAGGTGAAGCACCATGCATAATGTTCTGAGTGATGCATTTATTATTATCATTATTTCTTTCTTTCTTTTGAGGTTTGATTAATAGCATGATGATGCCACCGGTCCAACCCATCGGTCAGACTAGTTAAACCATTCAACTTGGGACCCAGTCGCTTGATCGGGTCATTGTTCGGGTTGGATTTCAAAACATTGACTGATATCATAATATACATATATTGTAAAATCTATAAAAATTCGAATCTCAAGAGGATCCGAGCATTATATACTATAGAAGTAAAATAAAAATGCATACCTTCCCAAGTAGAGTTCTTCTCCTAAAATGAGGAGTCCCATAACACCTACAATTACTGTTGCCAACGGTCTAAACGCGGTCATGAAAACTGGACATTTTTCCCTTATAACCAATGTTTGTAAATACACTATGATTCCAAATATTACAACTCCCTGCAAATATTAATTAATCAAATGTCATGAATTATCAAGTTATTGATTCGATAACGTTATTGATTGGTTATAATTGACACAGTCACGTTATAGCTAGCGTTGGTAGTGAAGTTGAAAAATAAACTTACACTGTAAACAGGAGCAAGAAGGCTGATGTTCCAGGACAATTTCCAGGACGAAGGTTTATGATCAAGAATAGCAGTCATTATTGCCGCAAGTAAAGTTCCTGCTAGGCAAGTTATGAACGTGAGAGTTATTGGTGCTGGATACTTAATATTTTTAGCAAGTAAAGAATGGTAGTCATTCAGTGAATCTTAGCCTTCTTTTCCGGTGAAACGTCCCTTCCTGCAGCCACCGTGACGGTCATTATCACCGTGACATCAAGCAATTTTTATTTTTATTTATTTTAATATTAATTAATTAGTTTTAATATAATATAAATGTTTTTAAAATTTTCTTGTATTGTCCAAAGCAAACCTTCAAATTTTAATCAGTTGCTCTCCCTCGAATGAAACCGAACATTGTATATTTTCAATAATAAGCTCCACGCCTTAGTGCAGTCTAATACTACACACCAGATATACCCTATGTTTTTTTTTTTTTTTTTTGAATTTATTTCATTCGTCATCGGTTAAGGGCATTTATGTTTTTCTACTTTTTCTATTAAATTTAACGATAATATTACCTGTAAGATGAAGAATGCGCTAATGCAAGGTATGAAATGAAGAGCATGAGAGCCTTTAATCCAATCTCCATCTGAGAAAATGTTTGAGTGATACCACACTCCGATTCTTCTTATGGTGTCCAGAGGACGACGATAAGGAAATTACCACAATACCCTTGTATAGAGTCATAAATTTTGCACCAGCTAAGGCACAACGTGCCCACAATTTTTGCTTGAGCACTTGCTTCTGAAATCTTTAGTTCTCCATTCTTTTTTTTTTTAATTTTGCCAAAAAAAAAAAAAAAGGTGAAATTTCTTATTAATTATTTTTTTGATAATTTTTACTTTTGATTCATTAATTTTCACTTGATTCATTTAATTTTCATTAGTTTACCTGCATAAAACTGCCAAGATAAAGGTGATGGCTGGAATTGCATTGGCCATGGCTGAAGCAAATGTTGGTGAAGTTTATTTTAATCCTGCAAAAAACAGTGTCCTTCCCAGCACAGCTCTGCCATAATAATGTATATAAATCAATTTTTCGCCCAAAAATTGATCAAGAATTCTCTAATCAAAGTAATATCTCTACTTCTAGGGACCAAAATGTTATCTTCAATGAATAAGGGGGCCAAAAGTGCGAAAAATTATTTTTATTGGGGCTAAAGGGTTGCCTTCAAAAACTAGAGGTGGTCAGAATGATAAAAACTACATCTGTAAGGCTTAAATAATATTTTTCTATATAAATTTTAAAGAATTCTGTGAGGGCCGAGGTAGCCACAGCCAACCCAGAACTAAACCTAGCTGTGCCCCTTGTATCATAAATTCGTTTTCCACAAGGTAATTGTTCGTAAGGATACTGTTTTTGATAACCAGAGATGTCCAAGTCAGCTTATGCGTACTTCAACCAATCTTCGTGATCCTGAAACTAGCAACAAAGTGAAAACTCTAGTGGCTACCACTATTAGCAACCGATGAGGGACTTAAACTCAGGACATTTTGAATAATACACGTAAGAGTCTCTATAAAACCACTTAGTCATCTAGAAGTAGTTCATAGGGATACTTACTAATGTAGTTGTACTTATAAAAACTCTCTTCTTTTCTTTTTTCCCAAAAAAGTATTGATCTATCTATTCATAGACAAGTCTTTCTTATATATTTCCTTCATAATTAAAAGATTTATATGATAGATGATCATATAAATTATTATTTTTTGAATAACACAATAGCATCTTCTCCAAGATGAACACTTCCCAGCATACCAAATAAAACCTTTCTTCTTTGTTTTTATTCTTGGAATATGGATCTATGAAAATTCGAGTGTTTCTCATCTTCATAATTAAAAGATTTATACATAAAAAAAATCATATAATTAAATTACTCACCCTAAAAGGCCAAGAAAGAAGATGTTTCTCCAGACTTGGATGCTTAGTTTGCTTTCGTTGTTCCTGCATACAAGAGAGAGATCCTGAATTATTAAGATCGTGAATCACATTAAACATAACAACAATTAGAAGATTAATTAATGAAGTAATTACCTCTCAAAGAGAAGAGCAAGAAGAGCAGTGGCCAAAGTTCCAAAGCCATGAGCGTAAACAACCAAAACATAGAAGCTCATGCCATCATCCAGAGAGACCTTGGAGACAATATTGTAACCTGCATANGAGTGTGAAATTTTACTTCATATTCTCTTACCCAGAAGGTACCAATCACAAACTTTACGAATTGTGACCGTAGATTCTCAAGTTCAAATAAGATCATTACAATTAGGTATGATACTTCTCATCTTTGAACTTCATTACTATACCACTACAATTTTTTTCATTAAGAAGTTAAAGAAAGGCTACAAAAATTAATTTGTTTTGAACTTCATTATTTCATCTTTAAACTTTATTGGCTTGGTTGAAGTTTATATAGAATGTGTAGTTAGTGGCCACATGTCTAAATTAATTTTCCACGTGGGTTAAAGAAGACAAAATTTTTTGTTTAGAATAATATTGCATATAGGTTGTCTCCATTATTCCAAGTTTGGTCGAGTATGATTACGTAAAGTATTTAAAATTCATCATTTATTGTTTAGCTATTTGTTGCTATTGTTTTACTTGCAGAATATAGGTCATGATAATAATCTCTCACAGTGTGTAGTTTTATATCGTGTTAAGATATCTTTTAATAAAAAAAAGGTACGAGAAATGCCATTTTTTCTTTTGTGCTTTTGACACTTACTAAAATAATTAACATTATTCGATAAATAATGATTCTATCTTGAATATTTACACTATGAATAAAAATGAAAACCTTTCGAAAATATAACAACCAAATCTCTATGGATGTAGCTTAACGGAGAAGACTTAATTTAAAACTTCCTCTTTAAAGTATCATCATGAAACCAAAATAAATTATATAGTTTAATATGTTGATCTTAAAATTAAAAGAAAATGTCTTAATTGAAAGTAGACCCGTTAAGCAATGATTGACTTTGTGTAAGTTAAAAAATATAGTTTAACCTAGATAAATTAATAACTTCGATTAAATAATATTTTTAACCAATCTTGACTTGGGGCCAATGTTTTAAAAACCAAATAGGTTAATAACCCGATCATGTGATTGGGCCTCAAGTTGATCAACAAGTCAAACCGATCTGATCAAAAAGTCGAACCGATGATATCATTTTTTTCTTGATCTTTCGGTTGAACTAACAACGTCATTTTCTTGATCTCATCACTCAATCAATGTTTTGTCTACTTCTTTTTTTATCTCACCCATCAATCCCTCACCTCTCATATGATCGAAATGTGTCCACCAACAAACAATTTTTTATTTGTTTTTTATTAAAGCCAATACATTACACCCTTCACTTTGGCGTCTTTTTCAAGAAAATTTAATATTTATTTTTTATTTTCAATGAAAGTTCATTAAATGCAATATAAGTATAACTTCTCCAACTTTCTTTATTGTTCTTTACTCTTTCATTTCTTCTGTTTTAATTTTTAAAGCTTTTTCGATTCTTCTGCTTTCCTCTAATAAAAATGTGCATGCCTTCTATACCAAAACTCACAAACGCATTCACTCTCTCTTTTAACAAAATCCTCATTTTCTTCTCTCTTATTAGTTGTGTGTCACCACTATTATATGCACCTCCACCATTCTCCACCACCATCACCACCGCAGCAGCAACGGCCTAGAGTTTCAATTCCTCTCATTTTTTCCCCTCTTCTTCGAGTTGGACTCTCTCTCTTCATCTAGTGGCTTCATGATTAGTCTTATTTTTTTCTGTGGATTAGCCTCATATCTTCAATTGAAAATCGTAAAAGGGATATGAATTTTAGGATTCAGGAAATTGAGTTTTTTTGTGCCAAAACCGATTGGACGGATGGTTTGCTACAATAACACAGGTCTAACCATAGGTCAAAACGGGTTAATTCTTATTCTCGGTTTTTTACCCTGACCAACCCAGCTAAGCCATTGGTTTCCGATCAAACCTGTTCAACTTACCGAACCGGATCGGCTTTTAAAACATTGCTTGGGACCAATGTGATAAATTAATAATTCGTTAAATTTATAAAATAATACATTTATATATACACACACACACACACACACACACACACACACACACACAACTATGAGTTATTTCCTATACCACATTAACCATACATAATACATACATGCATTAAGTTCAATATTTTAGAAAAAAAAAATAAAGAATACCTTAATAGATTAATAATTTATTAATTTATATGATTAAATAATATATTGATTAATTAATAAATTTTTATGATCCCAATTATATCTCATAATCTGTGAGTGAAAGTGAAAGCATAACGCCGAGCCTAACAGGCCCACAAGGGCCCCGTAATTCACAAAGGCTGTTAACCCCAACAACCCTAACCATTCTTTGAGCTAGTTTGGGAAGTGAATTTTAAGCTCTTGATCATTATCCCTCCTCACCTTTATTATATTTAAAAAATCCCTTCAACCCCCCATTTAATATTAAAATAACCTGAACTTATTAGGTTTTCATTAGGGTTTTTATGGCATCATTTCCCCGAATTTCAAACTTATTACAGTTTTTTGTTTTTTACTACTTTTCATCCAAGTTTCTATATTAGTTTTGTTATTTATTACCCCATATTTTTTCCCAATTTCAAAGGTTAAAATTGGGGTCTGGTTTTATATTGAGAAGAGGCGATTGGCTGTTAGGTACTGTAGCAGTTTATTAGGTTCTCAATGGATTTTAATGCATAAGAATCTTGGCTACTAATGGCTGTTTGAATTTTTCCATTGCATTCAGTAACGCATAAATCCGAGAGTTGTGTAGCTTCGTCTTAATAAAAATAGTTTTTTAAATTTTTGTTTCACTTGTTAATTGTTTTTTTTTTTTTTTTTTTTTCCTTCTTCTTCTCTTTTGCTTTAATTATCAACAACATTCATCATTTGTGATCCTCGTGTTACGAGCAAAATGATTGACTAACTGTTACGAGCTTTGTAGTTTTCAATACCTTAAAGATAACTCTATGTATATTGTCTACCAGTTTTAATG